GTTCTAAAATAAGGGACATTTATTATGTAATATAAAATTGAAAAAATTACACTCAGTGGTAACTGGCAACTGTAGATTTCTCTTGTTGCAGCTTTCTGTATCGTATACTTGGGTGACAGATTCTAAATCTAGCTATCTAATTAAACAAACCATAAGCATTAGTTCAGCTGAATTTTTTTTTCCTAGCAATATCCAACATAGAAAACAGCTTGGGAATTTAATTGTTAAATCACACTTATACTAAAAGGCATAGAGAGAGTCTTGAAAAATGATGCATTGCAAAGTGAATTATTTAAATTAGTAGCCAGTTGATCCACATCATTCTTCAGGAACTGCCTATTCCTTTCATTCACAGTGAACGTAACCAGTGACACCCCTAAAGGGTAGGTGTAAAGATATTCAAACTCTTTTGAATTATTTCTTTTCTGCCCTTCTTAAAAGTCAGTGGAATGGAAGAGTGGCTTTGCCACAACAATTTGGCAAATTTAAGGGCCTCTGGCTGGACAGGCAGCACAATCCAGACCAGGGTGGTGGAGAATATCATACTGAAGAGGTAGTCAGATACCTCTGAAACCTCCTTAGTTTAGCAGACATCCTTTTGAGGAGGGGCTGGTGATCGCTGAAGTTGCCAGTTGGGATGAATCTGCCATCACTTTGTCTGGGCACAACAACGATGACCTGTGAAGGAGCAGGTCCTCCCTTCTTCTTAGGGGATGGCTTCTCAGGCACTGGGGTTCACTGTTCCCCCACACTGGATTCAGCACCATGCTCCGACTTCAGCACCAGCAGCTCTTGCATAGGTTCATCCAATGTGATCAGGGAGGGCTGTTGAGAAAATGGGATCAGCATTACTGGCACACCCCACAGGTTCCACTGAATGGGCTTGCTGCCAGTTACTGTGGATACCCTCTTGGTGAGAGGCTGAGCTCTCATTTCAACTCTCACCACTGCCCTTCCAGGATGCAGCCTGAGTCTGCTGACTGATTTTGGCCACTGACAGCGAGGAACAATACCTGACCAACAAATGGAACCACTTAAGGGGACTGTTGCCTTGATGTTCATACCAATGTCTTGGAGGCCATGTGGGAAAAGGCAACCTGGGTCGTGGTGATTTGTGATGGGAAGCTTGCTAGTACCAGTCATATGGGAACCCGGGCCTTGACTCTGGTGTCTCACGTCTTATAGATGGAGAACGTGTTGAGGATCTGGGCCTTCTAGCTGAAGACCAATACTACAGTGCTCGTGTCCGAGGTCATGGAGATGGAGATGAAGATCTGCTCCAGTGTGTGCTCCACTGCTCTGTGAGTTGGTTCCATGATCAGCTTGCCCTTAAGTGTTAGGGTCTTAGCTGAGTCTGCCGCCTGATGTGGTGCCTGTAGTGTCAGTCAGCCGACTTGTTCTTTAGCCTCTGGAGCCACTTCAGGCAATGAGGGCCCTGGGAGAGACCAGGGACCCCTCCCACTCTCTGAAATTGAAAATGGATTCCTAGTCAGTCTGGGGGCTCCAAGCCTCACAGTAACCCCATGAAGTGCTGAGGGAGCACATGCCCTGACATTCTTCCTTTTCCCAAGGCCTCTTTTCCTCATGATGTCAAGGAACTCTTCTTCTTTCCCCACTTCTTAGGCACCAGTGAAGGGGACCAGCGCTTGAGAGCAGCAGTACACTCCACACCCAAACCAAAGTGCTCAGTGGGAGAGCTCTGAGGCAAGTCAAAGCGCATCCTTTATGAGGAGGATCTCTAGTGGACATCCTACACCTTTTCACAGAGTCAGCACTTGTTCTATCAGATTCCTCCAGAACACTTCAAGCAGCTGTTGTGGGAATCACTGATAGGCATTGGCCTGCGGCATGTCAAACGTGATTCTATCCACCAACTAACCTAATGTTTAACTTAATGCAAGGGTCAGAAACCAAACATGTCTCGCAGCTCGAGCTCAGCCCCCCCCTACTCTTCCCCCAAAACGGGCAGCCTGCACTGGCGCTCCAGCCTTGTGCCTCCCACAAGAGTGAAGCCAGCACTGACTTCGTGGCGAGGAGAGAAGGGAGCGGAGAGAAAGCCCCAAGCCTCTCTATGGGTATGTCTACACTAGCCCTCTAGTTCAAACTAGGGAGGCTAATGTAGGCATTTGAAATTGCAAATGAAGCCCAAGATTTAAATATCCTGGGCTTTATTTGCATGTTCCCATCTGGTCGCCATTTTGAAATTCCACTAACCTGAAGTAACTGCCCACGGCTACACACGGCAGTGAAACAGTAATTCGAACTAAGTTCTTAGTTCGAATTAACTGATACACCTCATTCCAGGAGGAGTAACAGTTAATTCGAACTAAGGACTTAGTTCGAATTACCGTTTCACTACCGCGTGTAGCCGTGGGCAGTTAGTCCGGACTAGTGGCATTTAAAAATGGCGACCGGATGGGAACATGCAAATAAAGCCCGGGATATTTAAATCCCGGGCTTCATTTGCAATTTCGAGTGCCTACATTAGCCTCCCTTGTTCGAACTAGGGGGCTAGTGTAGACATACCCTATGTGACTGGGGAAGAAGCGACACTGCCACTTCCCTTCCCCCAGCTGGGGAAACAGCAACACAGGGATGTGCTGCCTGGAGGTTTTGCCCTTGGTTCCCATTGGCCGGAATCCGGCCAATGACTGGGACAGGGAGTCTGAGAGCAATGTGGGGCACAAAAGCAAGAAAGTGCTGCCAAGACTCTGAGCCCCCAACTCCTCACGCTTCCTGCCCACCCACATTCCAAGACCCCTCAGCCCAAACTGCTCCCGCACCCTCCCCCCTGGCCAGACACCCGCCCACCCTCTGCTCCTGCACCCTCCCCCCTGGCCAGAGACCCCAACCCAGCCTGCTCCTGCTCCTTCCCCACCTATGCTTCTACCCTGTGCTCCCAGGTAGAGACCCTACCTCCTGCCTGTTTCTGCCCTCTCCCCTATTGCCAGACACCCTACTCCCAGCCTGGTCCTGCATCCACCCCCTGGCCAGACACCCACCTCCAGCTTGCTCCTGCACCCTCTGCCTGGCGAGACACCCTACGCCCAGCCTGCCTCTGAACACTACCTCCCACCCAGATCTTGTACCTTCACCCACTTCTGCACCCCACCTCTCACCCAGATCCTGCATCCCTATCCCACTCACTAGCAGCTCTGTCCCAAACACTGAACCTCTCATTTTTTACCCCAACCCAAAGCCTAGGGGGGTCCCATAAAATCCACTAACCCTGGAACCCCAGAAGAGTCCATCAGTCCTGAGCCTTTCAACCTCAATCCTCCCTGGCCCCTTCCCCCCATGGGGCTGGAGCACCAGAGGCATGAGATGTCTCAGTGGGTGGGGGCTACATCAGTGAGAGTTGGGACTTTTGGATGGGAGGTTTTTTTTTTTTTGCTTCTCACTTGTGTGGTCCCTGATTTTTTTTTCTGTGGGTCATAAAAGGTTCCCCCCCCCTGCCATAAATAAAGACAATGTTGAAACCTTTTCTTTGTGCAGGACATAATATTTTACTTTATTTAAAATGAAGTTTGGTAAACTAATATGAGGAAATAAAAGTGCCCAGCCCCCCTCTGTCTGCAGTGTCCTGTCCCTGGCCCCAATCCTGGGACAGATCCCCTGGTATGGCCCCCATCTGGTCACAGCACGGGCTGGCAGCAGCAGCTCCCTGTCCTGCTGCAGCACAGAAAGGAAGGGAGGCCACAATCCGGCTGTGGTGATCCTGGCCTGGCCCCTCATCCAGCCACTGCTGCCCAGCCCTGGCCTGGTAAGGAAATCCAGCCCCAGCCCCCTCCCATACTGTACTTCCCACCCCCAGCGCCTTGCCCTGCCTCCTGAACTGCCCCCCCACACACCCCAGTCTCCTCCCCTGAGCCCCTCATACATCCCAAACTTGACTCTTGCACCCCCACATCCACAAACTGCACCCCAGCAGCAGCAGAAGTCCCATGAAATAAAGTCTGTAAGAACAATGTTTCATTTATGTGATTAATAATCATCTTGCCAATTTTCAATAATATTAAGTTGTATATTTTCAGTCATGCAAATGGGCATTATTATAGGGCTCTTCGCTGACCACTTGTTTTGAATTTTGATGTAGTTTGGCTCTTTGGTTTGAAAAGGACCCCTGACTTAATGGCTAACTAAGTACCTACAAACTATGTACAAAGATGATAACAAAGGCTGTAAAGAACTGCTAATGCCCTTGGGATTTGCAAGACAAGATACTCCAACCCTCTTGGAAGGCAAGAAGGAACTGAGAGGTTATAGTGTCAGCAGTGTCTAATATACTGACACATAAGTGCAGTGATCCTATGGATACCTTTAAGGCAAAAGTCTCTGACAAACTGTGAAACTGGACCTGCCCACACCTGGAATGGAAATCAACATGAGCAAGCACTTGAAGAACACGTTTTTTTTCTCTCCAGAAACTTATCACTCAGGTAGGTCTTTGTGGATTTTCACAAAGACAGCAAAACTCATGTTTCCAGCACCAAGGGAGACAGTTTAAAGATTCTAGTTCAAAGATTCCAGAGTGTAAAGATTCCAAAGCACGCAAACATTAAGAATTTCAAGAATTTTTTGACATAGGAAAAAAAAACATTTTTCCATGCCTAACTTTCAGAAATAACTGAGTTATCTTTGCTGAAAATTTTTAAAAATATTAAAACTCTTGAGTCCAAAATTCCAGCCCAAATATGTATGGCAAAGTTATAGCCTACTGAATACATAGCCTTCTAATGGAAAGTTCTACTCAACTTTAACTATAGATGTCTCTGTAAGCTTTGCTTAGAATATTGCTAAATAAAACTACTGTATGAAATCACAAGCGGCATCTGTGAACCATTTGAAATTGCAACAAAATGCTATAAATGTAAAATATTTCAATATTCAAGTATATCCAATGTTAGTACTATACAGTACATCCAAAATTATTTCCTTAAAACGAACTAAACAGTTTTTTTCAATTTGTTAAAAACTTGTTTCCCCATATATAATCTCACCTTCTCATGGCTTCTCTCTACCTTTTGGAAACATTTATTCAAGGAAAGATTGTGGCGAATAGAGTTCTTCCACCCTGTGGGTGCTGTGGCAAAGTATGGAAAGTGCTCCAGAATCCAGCTGTAGATTTCTTTGACTAGCAAACTTTTATTAGGAGAATGCTCAATAGCCATGTAAATGAGAAGGCTAAAGGAATAAGGAGGTTTGGAAGTGGCTGATTTTTTTTCCAGATTCTGGTAGCAGGATGGTGAGAAGGATGGTACGTTATCACTCGCAATGTCATATAAAGGATTAACAATTGGAAGACCCTCACTTCCAAGGCTGAAGTTTGTTAGAAGATTAGTACTTTCATGAAGCCAGTTCAAATTTGTGAGCTCATCATCTGCCGATTTGCTCTCCACTACTGTGGCCTTTGATCTAGCAACATCAACTGCTTCAGGCAAGCTTCCAGTTCTGTTAATCTGTTTTAATTTTGCAGCCTTTTCTGTTCCAGCCACTTCAGATTTCTTATCTGGAGTCATTCCAGTTATTGGACCCATTTAATTTTATTGGTCTATAACAAAGAAAACAATCATAAATCAATATAAGTCTTAACAATCTTATCCAATTGTAATCACTAAGCTTAAACCAAAGGAAATTCATTATTATATCTCCTCTATCCTGCTCAGTAACTATAATTATAACCGTTAGGATATGGCTATCCAAGCCAGGGACCTTCTAAACCTTTACGAATTTGTCTTAACTGAATGTTAACTCCCACTGAATAGGACTGGTCCCAGTACAGACCCCTGCAGAATACCACTAGTTACATCCCTCCATTGTAAAAACTGACCATTTATTCCTATACTTTGTTTCCTATCTTTTAACCAGTTATCATTCCATGATCCCCTCTTATCCCATGACAGTTTACTTTGCTTAAGAGGGGCCTTGTCAAAGGCTTTTTGAAAATCACAATACAGCACATCCACTAGATCCCCGTTGTCCACATGAATGTTGACTTCTCCCCCCCTAAATAATTCTAGTAGATTAGTGATGCATGATTTCCCTTTACAGAAACCATGCTGATTTTTCCCCAACAAATTATGTTCATCTATGTCAGAGGTGGGCAATAAGTTTTGATGGGGGTGGCACTATAAAATTTTGGTAAGAGGTCAAGAGCCACACTTTTCTATAGAGAGGCTACAAGGTCTTGGACAGAGGTGGGATGCAGAAGGGAGCTTGGGGAAGGCAGATAGGATGCAGGAGAGGATGTGGAGTCTGAAAGGGAGTTTGGGTGAAGGAGTGGGTTGTGACATGGGGCAAGGGATTGGGTGTAAGAGGGGATATAGGTGCAGGAGAGGATTATGGCCTGCAGGAGGGTTTAGGAGGGAGTGTAGAGTCTGGGAGGGAATTGAGGAGTTGGGGGAAAGAAGGGGCTGGGGTGCCAGAGACAGGCTCTAGCAAGGAGGTGCTTACCTAAGCAGCTCCCAACCAGCAGCATGTTCAGGCAGGGCCAATAAGAACTGAGAACGTTTGCTGGGGGCGGGGACAGTGTGCCGAAGGCTCTCCCTTCTTCCCACCTCCTCACAGTGCAAAGCGCCACAGAGAGCTAGCCACTTTGATCAGTGCTACTTTGATCATATTAGAGGCATCAAGGAGGGTTGGGAAGCAGGAACCAGTGCTGGGGAAGCAGGCTTAAAAGCCAGCTCCCCCAGCACCATCCCTGCAGTGCCACTTGTCCTCCCTACCACCATGCTGCTGCCTCTATCAGTGCAGGGAGGGTAGGGGAGGCTACTCCAGCAGCAGCCCCTGTCAGCAGGGGGGTCCTAATTCCCTGCTGGGACCCCCCGTAGACAGGGGCCCTGCTGGAACAGCCTCTGTTCACAGCCAGCCCTGGCAGCCACAAACAGAGACTGCTCCAGCATCAGCCACTGTCCACGGTGGCCCAGGCAGGCTGCAAAGAGAGGCTGCTCTGCAGCCGCCCCTGTCCACGGCAGGTACCAGCTCCCCTCTGAGACCACCTGCAGACAGGGGCTGCTGGACCCGATGTGAACCAGAACTAAGCAAGCCCCGCTCAGTCCTGGCTCGCACTGGGTCTAGCCACAAACAGAGACTGCTCCAGCATCAGCCACTGTCCACGGTGGCCCAGGCAGGCTGCAAAGAGAGGCTGCTCTGCAGCCGCCCCTGTCCACGGCAGGTACCAGCTCCCCTCTGAGACCACCTGCAGACAGGGGCTGCTGGACCCGATGTGAACCAGAACTAAGCAAGCCCCGCTCAGTCCTGGCTCGCACTGGGTCTAGGAGCTACTCCCGCTGCAGCCCTGCAGTTTAAATGTAGTAGGAGCCAGGCTGCCTACTATATTTAAACTGCAGAGCTGTAGTAGGGGTAGCACCTTCCCTAATCGACTAATCGTGTAGTCGATACAAATGGTATTGATTACACGATTACCTAATTACCCCCTCTTAACATCCTTAACAGGGATGTTAAACTTAATTATATTATGGTCACTAATATGATTAGTGAAGGTGCACAAAAAGTGTTTGCCACTATATATTATAGAAAAATCTGATCCGATATTTCATATCTCAGATGCTAGCACAGGGCAATAAGATTGTAAATGATTTTAAAGATCATTCTGAACCACATGGCACATAGGGTTCTGGAATTGTACTAATCCAGACTCCACCAATTGTGCAGCATTTATTTGGTTGTTCTCTGCCCCTTATGTAACACTACTGTGTTCTACAACCTCAAATCTTACTGTCCCGAGGATGTTTGGAACGGAGCATACTAGTATTGTTTAATGAATTAACATAGGATGACCTTGAAAATTCCATTATGCCAGAATTTTCAAGAATTCCAGTTTGCAAGATGCAACACAAAGGAAATGTTTTAACCCCCATATTAGGGATGTCATCATGTAGATGACTGCACGATTAACTGATAAGTTTGGGCTTATCGGTTAATTTTGTAACTACATGATATGTGGGAGCTCGTACCCATGAGAAGCTGGCTTAAAAGCTGGCTCTCCACGAGCACAAGATCCACCTGCCCCCAACCCGTCGCTGTGGCCTCTGATAGAGAGGCAGCAGCATGGAAGGTGAGGGGCCAACTTTCCTAGAGAGGCAGCAGATGGGGGTGCAGGTAGGAGCTGATACTGGGGAGAGCTGACTTAAAAGCCAGTTCCCCCCAGGACCAGCTCCCCAGTGCCACCTGCCCCCTCCCAGCCTTCCTGGTGCAACCTACCCCCACCTATCAGAGGCACCAGCACGCGTGGGGAGTGGGGTGGCAGCAGAGGAGACTGCCATGAAGCAGCCTCTGTTCATGGCAGGCCCAGCTCCTCACAGACAGAGGTTGCTCCACATCCCATGAAGCAGCCTCTGTCTGCAGTGAGTCTGGGCCCTACACTGACAGAGGCTGCGCAGCAGCAGCAACTCCTATCTGTGTTAGAGCCAAGTTCCTCACAAACAGAGGCTACTTCTGTGGAGCAGCCTATGTCCTCAATAAGCCCAAAAGTGCCGGATTATCAGAAGTCTACTGTATATTATAATGCTGGCTACAACAGTCTTATGTGAATGCCTGTTTTCACTTCAGATGATATTGTAAACAAGAAACAGGAAAAATTATATCTAACAAATGTAAACAAACTTCTCTGAGCAACTGCTTGAACAAGAAGTAGGATTTAGTAGACTTGTAGACTAAAAAATTTTACATCAGTGGTTAGCAACCTGCAACTCGAGAGCTACATGTGGCCCATTGGGGTTCCACGTGTGGGCCCACAAGTTTACTGTTGCCCACATACAGGGTTGCCAGATTCAATTGGTTTCCATCCCTATAGGTTTTCCCCTACCAATATTACTATAATGACATGAACATAAAACAAGGGCACATGATGTGAGAGTATGTAGTGATTGCTAACTGCGCTTGTGTACCTAGAATTTGCAGCATTTGCTGATTAAACCAGAGCAGTACTTTGACTGAATGCAGAGGAAGTGGAGGGCTCTCACAGTCAGTGTTGTGAGCAAACTATCCTATCAGGGGAGACCATCTTGGTTACAACAATATTGTGGTCCACTGAGATGAAGGAGGGCCACTCCTGTGGCCCATTCTTTAGCCTCGGTTGCCCATTCCTGTTTTACATTATTTTATTTTTGAATGCAGTGTTTTGTACGTAATTCTACATTTGTAATTTCAACTCTCACAATTAAGAGACTGTAAAGATAGTACTTGTAATGGGAAAATTGAATACTACTTTTTTGTTTTTTACAGCACAAGTATTTGTAATGGGGAAATTGAATACTTTTTTGGTTTTTTTTTTTTTTACAGTACAAGTATTTGTAATAGAAAATTATATAAATTGAGCACTGTATGCTTTGCATTGTGTTGTAATTCAAATCAATATATTTGAAAATGTAGAAAACATCAAAAATATTTAAATAAATGGTACTCTATTACTAACAGCTTGATTAATTGCAATTAATTTTTAATCAATTGACAGTCCTCCTGAAAACAAAACAGAATGCTACACAATCCAATTTCACCAGTTAAATGTGAAAAACTAAGGCAGATTTTTATCAAATATAGAATTATTCCACTAGAGATGAAAAATGGAAATGAAGATCTGTGTACTCAATGCAACAAAAAAGAAACAGAACACGGCATATTTTCCATTCCAATGTCCAAAATAATGGAGAGTTTAAAAATGTCATTTCCTCCAACTATTGGAAATTATAAGACTCTCCTTTAAAAAAAAACATTGAAAAAAATGGTGTGTGACACTAACAGAAAAGAAAAATAAGGTAGAAATAACATTACATTATATAGCAACCTGCTACCAAATAAGGAACAGACAATAACGTCAAAGGATCATAAAAGGTTTTATTTTGGTTAGGATGCTATTTTACTTAGTTTACAAAGTGATTCAATTGTAGGGTAGACATTTAGGGTACGTCTATACTGCGGAGGAAGATTGAAGCTGATGATGTCAATCTTCCAGGGTTCAAATTAGCCATCTACTTAAGACAGCTAATTTGAAGTGAGAGGGGCATTCTTGTTGATGCTGGTAACCCTGCTTTCATGAGGAGTAAGCGAAGTCAAAGGAAAAGTATTCTTCCTTCAACTTCCTGCAGCGTAGACAATGCCAAAACTGGAGTTAAGCTACTTTGACTTCAGCTATGCAATTAACGTAGCTGAAGTTGCGTATCTTAATTCAACTCTGTCCTGTAGTGTGGATGTGCCCTTAGAGGAAAAGCAGAGGGCTTGCTATGAATTGTTAATAATCGGGAGAAATAACTGGAGAAATCTTTTTGCTGACAAACTGAAAAGCTAGAATATGGTGTTTAGAACTCAAAGGTCAAGTTACACAAAATATATTTTGTTTTTGCAATTCTTTATACATTTATGAACCTCAAGGACATTCCCTTAGAAGACTTACTAAGATTGAACTGAGAAATGGATCCAGCTCCCAGGATTTCCGATCCAAAGTTATGTGAAATGAAAAGGAATTTTAAAAATAGTTGTCGCTATTTCATGATTTCTGTTCAGCAACTGAAGCTCTTTTTGCACTGTAAAAGTACTTCCCAGCAGAAAACGTATATAATCAAAATTAGGACACAGAATCAGATTTCCCCTTTGAAAGCACTGGAAACTTTCAAAGAAGTTTCATACTAAATTTTAGAAATCCAAGGCATTTGTTTTTAAAAGTAACTGTGACAATTTTCCAAAAGTTCTAACAGAAACACTCTCCCTGTGGAACAAAAACTTAATTCATCTCAACATCTACTTTGTAAAGAAGGCTAGTAAATGGAC